GCCAATATGAAAAGCGGGTCAGGCTCTCCGTGAGGTGCCATTTCCCAACCCGATAAACCGAGGTGTGTTAACCAAGTGAAAAACTGAAAGAGAGAACCTTAATTGTAACTTTTCTATGTCTCTCAAGAGGAAGCCTCCTCTCTTGGAGGTGAAGGAAGGAAAATGGAGGAAAACGAGTGGAAAATAGCTGAAGAGTTCTCGAGTATTTGGTGCCTAGCACATATTCTAATGGCTCTAACCATTCTTGTGCAGATCACATATTTGAAAAAGTAAATCCTGAGATGGAAAAGCTGGGATATGAGTGCAAGTGCCTTGGAGGAGGGAAAATTGATCATAACAGCAAAGACAAGAAAATTAGGGTATTTGGGCTCTCTACAGTAAGTGCATCACTTGTTTTCCTTCAAATCCTTTATCTCTGATGCTCTGAGCTTTTTGTTTTATAGCTTTCAGCAGTTTGAATCACAGAGTAAACATTAACTGGAAAACTTGCCTGGCTTATGCGTGAGATAAATTAGAAAAACAGTATTTTTAACAGCAGGAGACCAAAGCAAAAACAGTAGATAACTTAATGCTGAGTAATGTCTTGATTATGACGTAATACTGAATAATATCTGCATTAAGTTATAACCAAGACTAAAACCGGAATTAGCATCTCTTGACTCAGAGTCTTTTAGTCTTACTGCTAGAGCAGGAACAGCCCATTTGTAGCCACAGAGTCTTGATCCAGTTACTATGTGGCCTTTTAATTGCCAATAAAAATATTCACTGATAGTTTGCCAGCTAAATTGTGGTGTTCTGTGTATCTGTTGGGTGAGAAGAGTAGGCCCAGTTTAGGTGTGGTGAATTTTCAGTAGATGAAGATGTATCACATAAATGCATCTTGTGGGAATAAAATTAACTTCCAAGAGTATGGAAACTAGAGCATTTCAATTTCTTTATGAAATACTCAGTAAGTGGTAATGATCCATTGAATTTAGGGAACACACTGTAGTCTTTCTGGTGTTGCTCTGTGATGAAGCATAGCTAATTCCATAGTAATTCCATGAGCAAAGATTCTGGTTTTCTAATGCAGACAAGAACAAAGTTCTATTAAGTTAATTGATTTTTTTTATAGAAAATGATGGTTACTTCAAATCCGCTTACCTTAACTGGATGAGCAGTGGAGGTCGGGCCTTGAATGTGTTAAGCATTTTAAAATGCTTCTGCTGCTTTTGTTGTACAGTGACTCTTGCCACCTGGAATGATACAAAAAAAAAAAAGAGCTGTAGGATTTGTATGGGATGGGAAGGCAGTGTAGAATGCTTATTCTAAGGTCTTGTGCCTATAACTGCATTTTTAGGTGAGACTTGACACCTGTATTAATAATTCAGCTGCCAGTTTAGTGTTAGAAACAGTGATCAACTCCTGCTCTTGTAATGCAGTGTCTATGGAAAATCCTTTGTTTCTCTGCTTTTGGTACCTTGAGGCTTACAGATGAGGAGAGTTTTATTACCATGAGGGGCTCCCATCAGGCAGAGACCTGGAGGTTCAGAAGACCTCAGCAGCAGTTCTTAATCTACTAATTAAATTGGTTTAATGCTTGTTTTTATTTGGAGATTTGTTGCCAGACTCTAAATCAGAATTATCTTGGTGTTTTATGAAAACCAGAGGAATAGTCATTGACTTGTTTTGAAGTAGATGCTGTGCTATTATTTGCAAAGCCGGATGGGGTCTTTAAATGTAGGTTAAAAATCAGATGGATCATCTGACCTTGCTTAGTTTGGACTTGCAGTGGCTGAAGAGCACAGATATTTAAAATTACGCTGTTACCAGCTAAGACAAGACTGCAAATAAATAGAAAATGAAGACTGTTTTCTTTAGTGGCTAGAATAGTACTCAAATGTTCACTTGTGACTTCTTATTACCTTTTCTATCAGCTGAGCCAAATCAGTTGGTTTTATGCTCAAATATTCAAGTGGGTCAATGCAATCTCTGTGGTTTAAAAGAATATTCAATAACTATGGTAGCTGAGGGGTTGGAAACATGTTAAAACAAGCTTTCTGCTGGAGAAACCATGATGTGAAAAATGCATCCTTGATTACTTGAGATTGCTTGACCTTATCTCATTTATTTTCTACAAATCGGGGTAGAGGGAATTGGAGAGGACAATAGAAAAAAACTGATACTGCAAGAATAACTCTTTACAGTGTTTTATTTGATTGTAAACTATTTGAAGTATCAAATCATAACTGGATAATTTGCGTTGAAAATAACTCAGTGATTCTGTGGACTTCCTTTCTGTATGTGTCTAATAAGCACTTGTTCTTTCTTGCAGGGCTATGGAAAAGCAGATCATTCAGTAACTGTAGAGATACTGAAAAAAGTGTATACAGATTATGAAATTACATGGTCAGATGACAAGAAATAAATTGACTGCTTATGAACACAACAAGCAGTTCAAAACTGATAACTGTGAGCTGTACTTTGATAAATAAAATTGAATCTGCAGTTCTAAGCCTTTTTCCTGCTCTTCTTGATGTGCCATCTAATTAAACACTCCCACATCATCTTACCTCCAGTTTGTTTTTATCCAGTCCTGTATCACTGATATCCTGTAGGATACATCAGGATTTTGCCATCAGTTTAAGTATCAGAGGACCAATCCTGTTCCGTGGTCTTTTTAGTTTCTTTTATTTTCTATTGCTTTTTAGGCTTTTCAACTTTCTTATCCACATCTACCAAAAAATCAGGGGGCAGGGGAGGGTTGACTATTAAAGTTCTTCACCAACGATCTAAATCTTCTACTTCATGGTTTTGAAAATTCAGTATTTGTGTTCCACATTAAAGTAATGATCAAGATCTTTTGTGTTCCTGCAAGATCTTTCTCTACAGCAGACTGATGTCAATGTCGAATTCTGACAATACTTGTTTCATTCTCATTCCCCTGTACTACTTTTATTCCCCATGAGTATAGTGATGCTTTTCCTTTTTATTTTAATGGCAATAGTTACCTTGCAGCTTACTACTTCCCTGCCAGACCCAGTACACCTAGGCAGTGAGTGTCTGAATTAACTTGCAGCACCTGCTTCCTCCTGTTGTGGCAAGATGCTGCACTTCATTTGTTGTGAAGTTACTTGCTACAATTTTACCTTTTTGTTTCCTGCCAGTCTTCCCTTGAATGCTGTTGTGGATTTCAAGGTAGCACCTTTTATTCTCATGCTTACATTGTTGACTTGCAGTCTTCAAGAGGTGTTCTTATATAAATCCTTGTTCTTCCCTTTGCTGTGGCTCCTACTGCACTTGCCTAACAGTATCTGGTGGTATCTAGTGCCTTTTTCTTTTCAATGTGCATGTGGCTCTAAAAGTACAAACAGTATGGATTTTGAGAGGCTTCAGTCCAGTTTCTATTACAAAAAAAAAATCCTCTTGTTACTGCCTTATTACACTAATTATCCATCTTATGTCACTCTTCTGTATCTTTGCTTTGGTTGAGCAGAGAGGAATTTCTTCTTGTCCTCAAACCTTTCAGTCTATTCCTCATTAGAAGAATTCTGGGTTATCTCCATCCCAACAATCACCTGGGAGCAGGATCTCTTAAACCTGGTGCTACATGTCTCTTGGTTGGCACCTGCTTCCCTATACCTGCAGCCTGGACTTGTCCCTCCAGTGCCTCTGTGAGATTTTGCATCTGCTGTTTGTGCTTCTCTTCATGCTCTTGTGCAATTGTTGTCTGGCTGCACCACTTCAAGTGCCATACCATTGATTGAAGGTTTGATTTTCCTTAACAAGATTTTAATTTCCAGACATGATTAAATGCCTATCTAGTGACCAAGAATAGCATAGAAATCAGTAATTTGCAAATTGGACACTTCCCTCTCCAATTTTCCTCATGGGCTTTTTCCCCTAAGCTTTAGTAAAATAACTGTAACGGATGCCATTTAACTGGTGCCAGTATACAAAACTGATTTTTTAATAACCTCGTTTCCCAAAACTAACAAATAGCTTTCAAAGGGAAATCATCAGTTAAGAGAGCGCCTGCTTAAACAAACAAGCTTTTAAACTTAGTTTCCTGAGTTGTTTTATGACTGATTTTAATGTTTCCACAATACTTACGGGAAAGACATAATTTAGACTGGATTTTTTATTGCGATGACTCTTTCAAAAAGCAAGGGGATGGGGTGGGGGGAGAAAAGGGGCCATAATGTGCTAAGAGCTAATAAACTGAGTTACCAGCTGATCTCTACCTTTGTTTCTTCATACAAGAGATGTGGCCTGATGTAAAGGTTTATTGCATCATCAAAAAAAAAAAAGTACTCTGAGGGTCTTCCCAATTCTGTTATTTTCTAGAGCAATGTCATTTTAGGAAGTGGTCATTTCCCTAGCTATTAAGTAATATGTACAAGTACTACAAGCGAGTGAAAGATTTTTATTCTAGATCATGAAGAGAAGCAGGAAAATGGTCACTATGGTGGTGCTTGTTTGGCAGGTAGAGAAAACCTTAATGTAGATGAGGGAAATCAGCATTTGATGTTCAAACACCGACAGAACAACCAGCCTACAGAATGTTGAACAGACGTGTTGAATTCTGCTTCCTCTCAGCATGTATCTGGTGACTTTTAAAAACAGTACAGAACTCATCTGGAATTATGGAAATCCCAATGCGAATTTTGCTGATTTAATGTGAGGAAAGCATCCTTTATTAATTCTTATCAGTAATTCTGAAATTAGAACTTAATTATACTGTGTGGCTTTTCCTGTTTTGCCAATGTGTGATCACTGTGTGATTGTGGCTCTAGCAGTCTTCACTTGAAATTCCTAAAATTGATTCTCTATTTGCACGAAAACAGAGCTGTCTTTGAGCAATCCAAGAATAAAATGAGGATGTTGAGTAAAGGAGCAGTATATTAAACCCAAGGCAGTGAGTTTGAACGTGGAATATTTCAGGAGGATGCATTATGGTAGAAGATTGTAAGTGCCTTCTCTATTAATCAAAACAAAATGAGATTCTTGTTCTTAACCATATTCATTGTCACAGTGGTCAGCATGTCTTATTACTCAGGTGCTGTTCTTTGAAGCAGCACTAGACCAAGTTCTAGTACTAGGTGTAGAACAAGCTGTTCAGTCAGCACGCACAGGCCACGATTTGTCTTATGACTGAGTTTTGAAAAGAACTCTTAACAGAGTAACTTCATTGATCTGCTATAGCTAAAACTTCCTTTTGTACCTCTGTCTATAGTCAGCAGTTGTCTATGATCAGTAAATTTCAGAGTTTATGCAGAAAAATCCCAAAGTGCAATCACAGCCACGGCACAGCCACAGTTTTATTTTTTTCTGTCTCCTATAGAAGAGCAACTTCAGTAGTTTCAGAAGCATCCCTTTAAAATAATCTACTTACATTTGGTTTTGAAACAACAGCAATTGTTAGGGCTCTTCTGTAAAGTACAGGAAATCCTCTATGATTCTATCTCAATAGCAACAAGATCAAAATAGGAATCTTACCGCTGACTTTCCTAGCCTTCAGTGATGGGAAATTTATGCAATAATTAAAGTGATATAGGCCACTGCTGGAAGAATTTTCTTTCCATCCCCTCAGTCTATTGTCCCTTCTCCCCTACACTGAGTATCCTTGCAACCAGTTTACTGCAGTGGTTGACTGTCTCTATGTTTTTATTTCTGTAAGGGTACCCAATAAAGCAGTGCACGATAAGCAGTAGCTTTGATCTCCCTGGTAAAGTTGTGTAATAGCTTTTTGTCCTGTTTTAGTTAAGACAAAACATGCAATGGATTTGTGTGTGTATGTGTGTGTCAATTGGTGGTGATACCAAGCACTTAGGACTAGGTTTTGTAGTTCTTCGGGTTTGTTTGCATTTCTGGTAAGATAATTTCTTCAGCAACATCACTCTCTTCAGTGTAGGACACAGGAATGACTTGGACATGGGCTTTTCTGAACCCTTGCTGCCTTGCCAAATTGCTGACAAGACTGAAGAGGTGTGAGTGTTCAGTAGTACCCCCAGCTAGTTTTGAAAATGGGTCATAGTGTATGGGCGTGTAATTTCTGGGAAAAATCTTGTTTATAGTATAGCAATCTAGTGAGCAATGTGCTGTAACTGCACAGCTTAGCTTCTTTCCCACTTGTCACCTAAAGCTCAGTTCTGTCACCCTCCAATTTCCTGGATTGCATTTGTAGGTTTATTTGTTGGTTGTTATAAGGAAGTTCTCTTATGTGGAACTGCCTTTCAACTCAGCATCTAAAACAAATGTTTTATTCCTTTCTAAAAACAGTATTGTTATTTCCAATTACTTTCTGAAATTTTCTTAAGACTGTTATGTCAAAATCTGAATGGTGAAAACACACAGACCACTATAGTAAATATTCCCTGGTACACTTTTTCAAAGGCTTGAATAAATGTCAGGTGTGCATTACATACAGAAACATTACAAAGATTTGGGAGATTGCTAGCAGGACACAATACAAGTGATAAATGCAATCACATCCCCCTCTGGCGGCAAAGCAGCAGAGCACACAGGTGTGCAGTCGATTCCAAACTTGCTGCAGTTAAACTGCATCCGAGTTGGGAGCCCAACCCTTGAAAACCACTTCTTGCACTGTATTAGGATGCTGCGCTCAGCAGTCACTCCTGTGATGTACAGTTCTGAGGCTGCCAAAGAATAAGAGAAGGGGACTGGGGACAGTGATTTGCTTCATTTTTAAATACATAGAAATGACAATTAATTGGCATAAACAGATGCTGGTTTAAGCAGAACTCCCTTTTTCTATGCAAAACCAGAATCAGAAGAGATCTTCACTTCTGGTCAGGCATCAGAATTTGTGAAGTACTTCAATAACTAGTAAGCATCCTTAATTTGTCAATCCACAATGATAACTAAACAGAGAAAGAGATAGGAGGATTAAGACATTTTGTCTCAAAGGTATTTTTGAAGGACCAGTGGTTGAATTTTAACTGGAATCTTTAAAGGCCATTTCCATAATACATCGCTGCAGTCCTTTATCAGTTGTTTTAACTATGCTGGTCCTAAACACGTTTCTCTCTTCCACAAATTCCTCAAAGAGAGGGATACCACCACCAACCCCAAAATAATGTGCTTTGCTTGCCAAATACACGCGGCCGTTTTCATCCAAGAGTTGAGCCAGAGTGTCATGCAAAGCACTGTAGTAGTCAGGATTATAGATGGTCTCAGATGTGACAATTACATCATACTTTGAAAAGGGTTTGTTACTGCTTAACAGGAGCCGGGTGACTGCAGACCACTCGCCGGAAAAAAATCTACATCTGGTGAGTGCATCAGGTAAGTGCTCTGCTTTCTTGGGCCTCTTTGAAGGAGGCTTGCTAGTTTTTTTGTCATCTCCACAGCCCATCGTGCTGCCTCCCTTTATACAGTTAGCCACCACATTAGGCAAGGTTATTTCATTAATCACTGTGCTGTTGTAGTCCTGAAAATGGACTTTTTCAGCTTTTCCCTTTAATGCAACTATTCCCAGCAGTCCAGCCCCGCAGCCGAGATCCAATACAGTCTTGTTGGTAAACTGTATTTCAGCCTCAGAAAAGTAGTCTATGAGATCAAAGGTGCATTCCCAGATTTTCAATCCTCCCTCATAGACTCCTGAGATGAGATCGGAGCGAGAAGAAACACTTTTAGACACGATGCCTTCTTCGTCGGCGCCATCCAGACATTTTTTTTCCACTACAGATGAATTTATGTAATACAGGCCCGATGCTGTTTCCATGAATTTAGTTTCCAATATTTTCCCGAGATCCTCAGGTACATTGTGCTCTTTGGCAGTTTTAACGCAGACCGTTTTCTTCGATGGTGTCTTGTCTCGTTGCTCATCAGTACCCAGCCCTGGGCTGGAGTCTGCTATGGGATCAGCAGTTTGCTTGCCCTTTTCTGTGGATTCCTGCTTGCGTTTTGGAGTGCACAGCTGTAAGTCCGTCTTATCCTGAGTGTCTGGTTCATCGTTCTTATTTTCATCGATCAAAAAATTAAATCGAAAAGACATTTTCAGGAATAACAGTATAGAAAAGTCAGCTTAATTTATTACAGCAAGAAACACTCACTGAAGAGCAATACTGACATAAAAAAGTATCCGTTTGTTTGCTTTTATAGAGGATTTTTTATGTAGTTGTCGCTGTGGGAAGAATGCTTTGCAGGTAGAATATGGGATACTTTGCCAATCAATCAGGCAAATAACTTCTGAAAACAGAGTAAATAGTTTTACACGTTATTAAACTGCCAAATATTACCACAGGCAAACCGCAACATCCTAATTTTCATTTTTAAAAAAATCATATCAGCATTTCAATTTCTGAAAAGTGTTACAAATGACCACCTCTCTCAGGTAATGCGGGCAAAAAAAACCCCGTGTCAGACCTAACGTTTCAAGCGACGCAACAACAACGCGCTTAGAGAATGCTAAGGCCCGGCTTCCCTCCTCTGCACCCCGGCTAAAGCCGAGGGGGTGCGGGGCAAGGGGACCTGGTCTCGGCTTACCCACCTCGTTGTGCCCTTACCGATGCCCGCTTACCGCACGTTGTCGCCTTCCGCTTCCTTCTGCGCATGCGCGCCCGTGGCAGTGGGGGGGCGGGGCGGGGGAGGGCTCCTTTCTCCCGCCAGCGGGCGCAGAGGATGCTGGGACAGTGGAGGTAGCTTTCTCCCCCCGGCTGGTCCTGAGGTGAGCGGAGTTTTTGCGATGTCCCAAACAGACCCTGAGCTGCTCCTGCAACAGCTGGGAGGCTGGGATTGGAATCTCTGCCGCCGGGAGTTACCTGCGGTCCTGCCCCGGCTCCTTATATCCTTCCCGGGAGGGAGGTTTGACTGCTGGGTGGCTGTGGGGAAGTCACCCCGGAATGGCGGGGGTTGTGTGGGGTTTTGCTGCTTAAGCATCGCGCACAGTTCAGGCAGATACATCTGTGGGAAGGAAAATGGTGCAGCCTCTGTAAAGGGCGGCACACAAGACGGAAGATCTAGGTGCCGAATACTTAACTGGAAATTAGTACAGCCTTCCACTGAAATAAAAGATTCACGGCTGGAAATTGTGTATGGCTCATTTAGCACTGTAGATAACTCCGCCAACCCCTCTCAAAAAAATCAAAGCCAGCAGACCCCAAATCTCACTCTCCCGATACCTTGCAGAAATCCTTATGCTGATAGTGTGGGTACTGAGCTGTATCTGCCCACATTGGTTATGAGCATCCCCACCAACTTCATGCGATGGCTGAAGTGTGCACAGGGCAGTGTGAGAGAAGTCACCGGGGCTTCTGAAGAGGCTCTAAAGATAATCTTTATGTCACAATGAGTTTGAGTTTCTTTAACGTTTTTACTCTATGTGTCAAGAATCTGAAGACTGGACTGAGCATGTTCGTAAGTAGCAACCAAGAAGTGCTTCTTCCTACAGGCTGTTGTATTGCAGTGGCATTATAAATTATGCACTACTTTAAAATAGTTATAACTAGCAACTTTCACAGTCCAGCAGTTCTGCCAGACATTGCATGCTGCATTTACTGCATGTTGAATAAGCTTTATAAAAGCCCTTAACAAAGCTATGCATGTAAGGCTGCTTTTTCCTTCCCGCTACTGGTTTTTAGATACTAAAAAAACATATGGGTGCTTTCTATATTGTATTTTATTGTCTTTTTGGCTGCTGTCTTACAGGTGGCAAAACTCTGGTAATAGCTGATAGTGATAAGAAAATGAGGCTGATATGGAACAGTTCAGAACTCTTGCTAACATTTACTGTTGAGTTGCATATTAGCGTCAACCAGCACATTAAGTTTGCAAGTATTTGCAGTTTAGAATACGGAAAATTCTAAGTCCATGAGCAACAACTGTGCTCAGCCTTCAACTAAATGTGTGCAGGTGTGGTGCTGTTATTGATGGGTCTGTGCATGTTGGAGCTGTTATTGTTACTTGACTTTTCAGGTAATGCATATGTGGCAAATGTTATGTTGCTTCTCAGATTTCAATATCTGATCTGTTTTTTCTTGATGCCGTTCTTTGTTTCATTTCATAGGTCACTACGTATTTTTGATAATCACATCTTGTTTTTCTCTAACGTTTTATAAATGCTTTGCTTTGCAGGTGTTTTGAGGATCCTGACTGAAATGTTTTTGCCTCATATCAGCCTTGCAGATTTGGAACAAACTTTTTTCTCAAAAGTGTTACCTAAGGTAATGACAGCTTTGATTAAATGTGGAATTTTCAGTCAGTCCAGTGCTAAAACCTGCTTTGAATGCAGTGATTCATTTTTGAGGTCACATTATATTGCTTTTGATACAAAACTTTATGTGAGGTAGCCTCTCAGGACAAATAAACTGAAGAACCCAACACTCATACATCATGAGTAAACATTGTGATATTTGTGATTATAGCAAATAAACTTTTAGACCATAGTGGGCTAACATGTTCTCTTTTAGGATTAAATGATGGAGAATTCTATGCTGTAGTTGTATTAAAATTCTTCAATGTCTACAAAAAGTAAAGCAGTGCTGAATTACTGATTTAAGTTTCAAGCCTCAGTTTGCATATTTTAAGAAGCCTGTAAAAATGACCACTTTATTTCCATTTACCCTATTTTATGTCCTGTAGCAAATTTTGGAGATTACAAGAAAAATGGCTCATAACAGACATATCCTGAACAAGGATTACTGTACCATACCAGTTGATGTAGTATCCTGCACGTGCCTGGAAGCCGCTTACTGTCTTTGTGGTCTCACCAGTAGCACTCATAAAATATCCAACCAACGTAGAAATTATTGTTGTTTGCAGGTCATAGACTTAATTTCTTTATATATTCAAAATGTTAATGATCGTTCTCAACCAAAAAAACCCAGTTTTTCTGAGACAGAATGAAAATCCTTTTAAGATGGTGTGGTTTTACCTAAGGAAAAATCTTTTGTAGAATGAGGTATGTACTTCGAGTGAATTAGCTAGAAAGTTTCTTTTACTAACAGATTTTATAAAAAGTAACAGCTAATATGGTTTTCCCAAATTATAGACAGACGCTATAAGATAGTTTCTGTTTCTTGGTATATTGTGCTTTATGATTCAGATGCTAGAAAGTGTTATTTTCTCCTGTGAGTTACCTCAGTAGCCCAGTTTGCAAGCAGATCTAGAATGGTGGTGTTATTTGCATTCATATGTTTATAAATGAAATGTTTAAGTTTTGTTTTGTTCTGACAGACTCTACAGTTATTTGATAATTTGATGTATGAATTGTCCAGTGAGGCCAAAGCATTAACCAGCCAGAATACAGAGTTACGCAGTACTGTGAGGAATCTTTTACAGGCAAGTTCCGTGAAATAAGTTGCCAAATGAATGTTTACATTATTCTTTGTTTTTTTCCTAAACAATTAAGAGGTTTTTAGTATGCTTTTGTTACATACTAACCAGCTGGTTAAAATGGAATTTGAACTTCCTTTGCAGTTCAAGTTCAATTAAAGTTTTGTGAATGATTTGATTACATTTAGTGTGTGATGCTAATCAGAATTAAAAAAAAAAATCTCAAATTGTCTAACACAAATGGAATCTGATTCTCCATATTTAAAGAGTGAATCTGGCACCTATTTACACAGTCACTTAATTCAGAGTTTGAAAATTTTTCGTAAATTGAGAACAGTAGTCAGAGGAAATATGAACATTTCAAAGAGTATATACTCAGAGAAAAGGTCTGGAATTGCATGTTACTATTTGATGGAGCTTCATTCATCTTTAACAAGCTATTTATGCAAGGAGCACTGAACTTTAAATGCTATAAAAATCTAGGTGCAATTCAGCTAAGAAAAAATGCTTTTGAAATTATTACAGAAGTGAAAAACATTGATTGCTGTTGTTTATTCTTGCTTTAAGACCATGGTGCAGCTGTTGGAAACTCTGACCGGTTGTGTACGATACGTCTGCACGCTGCAATGTGTGCCTCTGGAGAGTATCCGCACCCTGCCGTCCTCCGTTCTCTATGTAATAAAGAACACATTTACACACTGCAAGGTAGGCCTGTGTTAGGAGGAGGAAAAGTCTTATACTGGTTGGCTTTTAGCAAACACTCGCTTTGTAAGAAGGTCCTATTTTCAAATAATATTGTTGCCAAATTATTTTTTAAATTTAAAATTAGTTTTTAAATGGTTTACAGAATATTTAGTGCACAAGTACAAAGGTGATTTTTCAGCTGTCTGCCCAGCAAATCTGACCTGGTAGTGAGAGGCACAGACTGTGCAGTTTCCATATTTTTCATCAGTGTCAGTTGAACATTTTGCTGATGAATGTAGGCTCTCTGTGACATCTGTCCACTTCGGATAGCTGCGGTATTTTCAGAGCTACAAATGGTTACCCAAGTGGTGCTACTTACCTATGATGAGTAACTTATTTAAGTTTCAGATCTGGACTTTCAGATGCAACAGTAATTCCCTCTAAAGCAGTGAAAATAAAACAAGGTTATTATATGGACATGGTAGCTTTTAGTCAGCCTTCACTTTCACTTTTTAATTTGTCTTTCTTATGGGAACATTTACAGCAGTTTTTCATGTCTGGACTTGGACCCAGGTGCCATACCTTTATTTAACAATTCTGATTTGAAGGTCTTGGGAAATATTTGGAATGCTACTTCCTGTCTTACTAACCTTGTGCTGTTTTGTTCAGAAATACCATCTTAGGTTCATACATGGGGGCCTAATCCAAAGCCCACTAAGCTCACTAGAGCCAGGCAGACTTCATTAGTTGTAGATGAGGCTGCAGGTGAATAGCATTTTGTATTTAGCGAACAGGTTGGTATCAGAAGCTGCAGATCTGGCTGCATATTGACTTAAATTGGTATGTCTGTGCCTTGTTCTTTTTTCCAGTGAAAGGTATGACAAAGCTCTTGATGTCTGCAGCATGTGTAAAAATCAGGCTGTGATTCCTGAACTGTTTTTTAAACCTCTTCTTCCCCATTTCCTACAGGACAGTGAATCAGTGTACTGTGGGCATCTGCACTTGATCTCTGACCTCCTGCAAGCTATGTTCAAGGAA